ATCCTCTCAACAATAATATCAGTCCTATGAATTGAATACATCCTACAGAGAGAAACTAAAAATGCAGTAGTCAGAATTAAAATGTGAAGCCATTTGACCAGTGGAAGAAACCTCTTAATTTATACACCAACTTTTTTGGTGGATCAACTAATTAACTTCAAGTTTTCAGATCAGATGTCACATAACCATAACCATTCATTTTAATACTGGTCAGAGCTTACAGGTATTGATGGTCCCATTTTGGAGTAGACCACTGGTTATCAGTGGTCCTAGCTACCTGTCCAAATGTTCTACAGTACCTGCCTAGGGCTGTGAACAGTTGACAGACACTGTTGGTTGGTGGTTGCAGTTGTTTAGGGCAAGCATTTATATATTATATGTGTGTGTGTGAGGAGGATCACATTCACATGTCATTAGGTTTACTCTTCAAATTTATTTTTTGTAGGTTTGCTTGAGATTTCCCCCGAACATCTTTGTTGAGACCAATGACAGAATCAAGCTTGGATTCTGCATTCAGTATTCTCTAACTATGCCAAATGGAGCACGGCAAGAGAGAAACAAGATTCTTCAATTTTCTTAGAAGATACAAACTTCAACTTGAATTTCCTATACAATTAACACATTTTTTTTGGAGGAGTATAAATTACTAAATCTACAGGAGGAGGAATGGTCCTGCTACATAGTAAGTGAGATTAAATCCTACATCAGTTAGGGGTTGGGATGTACTGTAGGGTGTTAAAACTCCAGCTCAATATTGACTTTGTTCAAGCTCGTTCTACTTGCAAAAGAAATTGAATCTAATTAATTTTGAAGTTCGTTCTGAATCTTGGTAAATAATGTGCGATTTGACTCGATTCACTTCGAATAGGCCTTTGGTAGTAAATTATTGGGAAATTTGGAAGCCGATTTAATCTTTATAGCCTTTGATCGATTTCATCAGTTAGGGGTTGGGATGTACTAAATTATGCATGTGAATAGCTGTTTGGATTACATCTTTATAGCCTTTGATCTGATTCTCTTGATAAGCAATGCCTCATTTAATAATAACCCTTAATCAAATACCACACAATTGTATATATCTCCCTATCAACAAGTGGATTGAAGATTCACATATCTTGAACTAGAAAGTAACATGGTACATAATTCTTTAATGTAATACCAAAATTTCTGATTTGTCGTTTAAATAAGAGTACCTTGTTACCTCTATACTTGATCTGTATTAAACTGACAATATATTTAAGCTATGAAGTCAAACATCTGCCTTAAAACTTCAATGTTCCTTAGTTCGAAATGAGGAATTTGGATCCATTCTATTATTATTATTATGGGTCCCGCTCAAATTTTATAGTGGAAATTCTGACATTAAAGAAAATTAAGAAAAAATATTTTAGAGGAGAACAAACTTGTCAGTGGATTAAATCCCAGCTCACTGGTAACTAGTTTTAAACACTCAAACAAACCCTCACCTTCGTGACTACAGCAATAAATAGTACTTGGCATTTTCTCAAGGTAAAAAACCATTTCAAGCTTACCACTTACTTTATAACCAAACAAATATTCAATCAACTTTAAAGGGTGATTCCGTGGGTGGTTTAGTTTGATCTCTAATAATTCAGAGGTCTCAAGTTTAACACTTCTCATATTTTTTAAAAATCAGTCACTTTCTTTTTTAGGTGACATATTTTAAATCTGCTCGAATTGTAATGGCCAATATTTGAGTTCGAATGAATAATCGATATAAATTTAAACATATTATAATAAAAAATAAAAAAAGGCAAATATTCAATCGTCGTGGGCTAAAAACAGCGCGTGTCAAATTTTTCTTAGATAACAATCTTAGCAATGCAATGTGACGAACTAACAGGTAGTTCTTGGCATGTAAAACATGTAGATAACACTTTTTTTGGGAAGCCTTTTTTTTAATAGAGAGGTGCACTCAGCATAGCCCTGTCAATCATATTGAGTGAGGTGTATATTTGTGTTGAATTTAACGAGTTGGTATTAAAAAATATTTTATTTATACATAATTTATTTATTAATATATGTTCAATGAGTTATGTGATATCGAGTTTGTGTCGTATATAATTGGTATATAAACGAATAGTGTTGTGAATTTTTTTTAATCGATTGAATCTACTCATTTATGAAATGGGTAGTTTAAAGAAGACTAAAATATTTTAATTTCATATCATATTATTCGTATAAAGTTTAATGGATGCCCCACATAGCCTAATCCCTGGCCCAACAATCCCACCAGAGCCTCCTCAAACCGCGGTTTTACCCACATACTTAGGGTGTATTTGTTTTAGCTATTAAGAAAGAGGATTAAAAAAAATAGTGATCGAGTTCATCTTATTCTATTTATTCTCACGTGCGGTTAGACATTTTAGAATTTTTTGATATTATCACCTATAAATAATCTAAATCCAAATAAATAGTACATTTATAGTCACGAACAAAACCTCAAATCACTGGGACGGTTTACTTTGTTGCAACTTGCGAACTCACCTTATGACATTATCAGTCTGGTTGCTTTCCAAGTCTTTTCTAAAACGACGTGCCCATCATTATTTTTCCAGTCTAAGTACTAAAAAAGTTGTCTGGAGATCACACACATTTGATAATTCTCATCTTTCATGTCACCCCACTTTCAAGGGTTGTCTATAATTATTCAATTAAATTACCCATTTCCAGTTCCAGTTCCAGGTATAATTTAATTTTTACAAATTAAACGACCCCCTCACATTGGTGTTTTCTCTATTTTTTTAATTTTACATTTTTATGAAAGTGGCTAGTTGTCGATATGGTTGAATAGTCAAATCTATATGATAAGAGAGTTACTAATTTGAATCTTATCCTTATATATATTATNAATAATTCAGAGGTCTCAAGTTTAACACTTCTCATATTTTTTAAAAATCAGTCACTTTCTTTTTTAGGTGACATATTTTAAATCTGCTCGAATTGTAATGGCCAATATTTGAGTTCGAATGAATAATCGATATAAATTTAAACATATTATAATAAAAAATAAAAAAAGGCAAATATTCAATCGTCGTGGGCTAAAAACAGCGCGTGTCAAATTTTTCTTAGATAACAATCTTAGCAATGCAATGTGACGAACTAACAGGTAGTTCTTGGCATGTAAAACATGTAGATAACACTTTTTTTGGGAAGCCTTTTTTTTAATAGAGAGGTGCACTCAGCATAGCCCTGTCAATCATATTGAGTGAGGTGTATATTTGTGTTGAATTTAACGAGTTGGTATTAAAAAATATTTTATTTATACATAATTTATTTATTAATATATGTTCAATGAGTTATGTGATATCGAGTTTGTGTCGTATATAATTGGTATATAAACGAATAGTGTTGTGAATTTTTTTTAATCGATTGAATCTACTCATTTATGAAATGGGTAGTTTAAAGAAGACTAAAATATTTTAATTTCATATCATATTATTCGTATAAAGTTTAATGGATGCCCCACATAGCCTAATCCCTGGCCCAACAATCCCACCAGAGCCTCCTCAAACCGCGGTTTTACCCACATACTTAGGGTGTATTTGTTTTAGCTATTAAGAAAGAGGATTAAAAAAAATAGTGATCGAGTTCATCTTATTCTATTTATTCTCACGTGCGGTTAGACATTTTAGAATTTTTTGATATTATCACCTATAAATAATCTAAATCCAAATAAATAGTACATTTATAGTCACGAACAAAACCTCAAATCACTGGGACGGTTTACTTTGTTGCAACTTGCGAACTCACCTTATGACATTATCAGTCTGGTTGCTTTCCAAGTCTTTTCTAAAACGACGTGCCCATCATTATTTTTCCAGTCTAAGTACTAAAAAAGTTGTCTGGAGATCACACACATTTGATAATTCTCATCTTTCATGTCACCCCACTTTCAAGGGTTGTCTATAATTATTCAATTAAATTACCCATTTCCAGTTCCAGTTCCAGGTATAATTTAATTTTTACAAATTAAACGACCCCCTCACATTGGTGTTTTCTCTATTTTTTTAATTTTACATTTTTATGAAAGTGGCTAGTTGTCGATATGGTTGAATAGTCAAATCTATATGATAAGAGAGTTACTAATTTGAATCTTTTCCTTATATATATTATTTATTTATTTATATCAAATCATTCATTTTTATCAAAAGTTGAATTATTTAATTTTTTACTAATTTGTGGCTCAATATAATTTTTATTTAACATATTATTCATATGTGATAGTGTACACATGTTAGTTTTTTGAGGTTATATATTTTGAGAATTTTTTTAAATAATGGATTAAAAAAAGGGAAGAAGAAAATTGTTATTTTATATAATAGTATTGATTTTTTGGATATTCAAATTTTATATTATATTATGTTTGAAGATACGAGTTATGACTAGTAAAAGAATAGGGAGGAGATAGGTTAATTTTATCCGATGGGTCTACTTTTCATTGTTTAGTGTGTTAGTGGGCCAAAATAAGGCCAGATGTTCGGGGATTAAAATGGTATTTATGATCATTTTATCCCAAAACCTAGAATTGAAGAATGATAAACAATACTGGCTGAAATTAGGTTGGATTAAATTGGATAGTTTGCATTCCACCTATTCAATCACATATCGAACCAAACGTAGTTTTGGATCGAGCTCAAGTAGGCTGTCCAATCCAATCCAATCCAATTGCTTTCTTTTGTTAGTTAACACCGAGAGAAAACCAAGTGTACGTTTCTTAGTTTCTTCATGATTCATCTTGTCTTGCTCATTATTTATCGGGACTCTTTGGAGGGAGAGGTATTATGGGATTTAATCCCAACATAGAACGAGAGAATAACCTGTTGAAGGTCATATAGAACAATTCTTACCATGCTGGGGTTTTTTTTGGATCAACATTAGTGCATCCAAACATAAGCTTACCTTTACCCAAGCTCACCTTCTTCAATCAACTTAGTGGCATTCTGAACATTATATATGTTAACGAAACTATCCTTCTCCTAAGTCTGAGCCTTGACAAATCTGCCCCAAAACCAATGCTTCTCCCATACTGCATACATTGAGTTCAAGGGAACTCCTTTGGTCTCCGGCACAAAAAGTACTACAAAAATGGTCATTACAGCGATCCAACCGGCGTAGAACAGGAATGCCCCATATTTGAAGTGACATAGCATGGCTAAGAATGTTTGAGATAACACAAAGGTGGTGGCAAAGTTAACAGCAACGCTTATGCTTTGTCCGGTTGTCCGGATTTTCATCGGAAATATTTCGCTCGGAATAAGCCAACTTAGAGGTCCCCATGACCAACCAAAACCAGCAGCATAGATGCACATTAGCACAAGCACGAGCACGGCATAGCCCTTGGAGATGTGTTTGGTGCCAGAACCACCTGTTGTGGTGGCTAGTACACAAGCCACCGCGACCTTCACAAAAATTGCCACCACAAGTTTTAGTGCACCAGGTTAATCAGTACCATTAAAATTTCCATGATCCTAATCCCATAAGGTGGCCAAGAGTCGAGAAGCATTTGTAAGAATGTCCAAGGTCACATTAGTTTTGTTCCGGTAATGCTAGACTGAAAAAAAAAAAACAGAGACAAAAAATAGGGACTAAATAATGAACAGAATCATACCTGACAGACAAACATTTGAATCCCACCTTGGATGAACAAAAATCTTCTTCCAAAACGATCAACAACTACGGTGGACACGAGGATCGAGCCTAGGTTAACCAACCCAAGTATAATTGCAGCTATAAGAGCTGAATCGCTTCCAAAACACACTGATTGAAAAAGAACTGGCGCATAAAAGGCAATGATATTAATCCCGGTGACTTGTTGAAAAAAAGATATAGCAATGGCCATCACAAGATGAGGCCTGTATTGCCTCCCAAATATGGTCACAAATGGCTCTTGATTTATAGTCTTGGCTATTTCACTGGACGAAATTAGATCAACTAGCTCGGGCTCCACGTCGGTGTTGGTTCCCCGGACTTTGGTTAGAGCTTGTCGAGCTTGGGTCAGCTTGCCACGCTCCACTAGGCTACTAGGAGTGTCTGGAATAAGGAGCATGCCAAGGGTCATAATGATAGCTGGTGCCACTGCTAGGCCGAGGGAGAGACGCCAACCCCAGCTGAGCTTGGCAGTGCCAAAGTTTATGCAGTTGGCTGTGACCACCCCAATGCCAATGAAAAATTGGAAGCCTGTGTTGAATGCACCGCGCCATTTTGGTGGTGCCATCTCCGAGAGATAAACAGGAGCAGCCTTCATGGAATCAATAAAATTGTTATGACTTTGTCAAAAAAAGAAACGAAAAGAAGGCAAGGGAAAAAAAAGGGTTGGCAATGAGAGTGTTCAGTTACCTGGTTCGTAAAACCGACACCAAATCCGAGCAAGATACGGCCCAAGATGAGCATAGCGATGTTCTCTGCCCCACCATTGATGGCAGCACCGGCAAAGAAACTGCAACCACCAAGCACCATGGTGTTTTTGCGGCCCAATGCTGCCGTGAGGTGGCTAGCCACAAGCGATGCAGCCAACCCTGCTAGGTACAGTGAAGACGTGAACGATGTCAAGGCTTGGCTATCATAGACGCAATAGACGTTCGTTTTGGCCTCGGCGGCTTTTCTTAGTATTGATGGGAAGAATTTTTGGAGGAATGGTCTCATTGTTGTGACACCCCCTGCCCAGAAATTCAGGTAATTGTTTGATTTAGAAGCTGTTATTTGGTAGCTTAATGCGACATGCCAACAAGAACATTTCAGGTGAAGATTCGGACAAAATCGATGAAATAGAAGAAATCCGAATAAATGAAAAGAAAAAAACAGAAGGATTCAAAACTTGAATTGATTTTTGATAAAAAAATCTCAATTAAATTTGGACAATGGTCGAGTCGAGTCTTAGGTTATTGAGATCTAACCTAAATTAGTCAACTAGAGTTCAACTCGAATTGAATATTACTCTCAACCGACTTGTTTATTGTAGAATTGAACCTGAATTTTAGTCTGAGTGATTTCACACGAACTAAAAAGTTTGAAAGCTTTGTGAAGTCTAGACTGATCTAACCCATCAAGTTACACCCGTACTTTGTTGGCCTAACCAGATTCAATTCTCACTAGTCAAATAGCAGCACCGCTACCCCCTCCCTGGTATTCTAGAATGATATTGGTAAGGTTGGTTGCTGTTCTCATCTATGTAAGCAGAAAATTACATAAGCTTCGGTCCACTGCCATCTCCAAGTGGAGTTTTCTTTGCCTATTTGAAGTTTTATTATTAGGAAAATATTATTTGGACCTAATTTAGGGATTTAATTTAATACAACAATTGAATTGGTTGTGGGTTCAATCTCAAACGTTTGGCAAAAAATTCAGGTAATTAGAAATAAGATTAGTAGCATTTTTGATTCCTAAAATATATATTTTTTATCGCTGTAATCCTCGTTCTATCAATTTTATTAATTTGATCCTTAAAGTATTCAATTTATATCATTTTGGTTCCTATATAAATAGACCGTTAGTAAAATAAAGGTGTGTGGTTTGATATCTATAGTTGTCTTTTCTCATGCTAGCACAGGTTATCGCTAGAGAGTGTAGAAAGGAGAGATGAACCAGTCACAGATAACAAAACACAGGAAATGATGAAAAGTAAAGCGCGCACACACACACAGGCTCACCTGAGATTCCGATGTCATAACCGAATATGAGCCCACCGGAAGCAGCAACGATGCAGGTGATCACCACTGACACTGTTATCCTGCCATTGAAGCCGCTAATTTGCCCGTCAACCACGAAACCCCCCACAGCCATTCTCTCTTTCTTCCTCTTTCTCTCCGTTTTTTCTTGCGATCCAAACACACTTGAAAGAAGTAAGAACAACTTCTGAGTATGGTTTTCTCTGGTGTTCCTCAAAAGAGAAAAATTATATATGCAAAATATAGGATACCCAAAATGGGTTGAAGTTGGTAGTACTCTCTAAGCCTTATAAAATTGAATATGCCCACATTTTTACAAAGTTATGTTGCCCCTCTTAATTGCTTTTTATAACTTCACAAGAAAAGTTAATTAAAAGAAAAGTTTACTTTCGTAATCTCTTTTGCTTCACCTGCAGCCTATTAAATTTGCTTCTTGATTTAGAGATTATGCAATTAATTATAAGATTATGGATGAAGAGAAATTGCAGCGAAAATAATCAGGCCAACTACTTTTTTGTTTGATGATCTATCTATACATAACTTTCACACGTGCAACTACCCATCAAACATGTGAAGAAAAAGCTAACAATTGTCAAAGCCTACTTGGCAAAATCTGCTAGTCTAAGGGCATTATCAATGTAAAAATATGTGGTTACCTCATCTTGGCTTGGTTCAGGGAATATAGTCTCCAAAGAAGCATTGGCTCATTGGGAGACAAGTTTAGCTAGCTTAATCCTTTGGTGAGAGGTTAGTTGTTCAGTCGCTTGAATTTTCAAAATTGTTCCAAATTATTAGTTTATTGAGAGAGTGAGAAGGGTATGAGCTGAAGTTTGTTTTTTGAGCTCTGGATAATTATGTCTGGATTGTGAAGACTCTCAACTACATAGATAGTTTAATGTGTTCATCGACAACAATACAATGTAGCGCCCACACAAACACGACTCAGTGACAGCTTGGCAAGATCAAGGACTTTTAGGATTAATGCAATTGGTACACAGCAAAAAATTATTAGCATAACGAAATGGGTAAGATTAATCAGTATTGACTTATACGTTGACAATTCAGGAGGAGGAGCCCAATCCAACTTTTTGGACACCACAACCATTAGTCACTTCCCACCATACTCCGGTTTTCAGCGGAGCTCTTCCGCAACATTGATTTCTTCAGCTGTTTAGAATCCAGTTTGACGACTCTCAACTAAGGCCAAGTTTTGTGTGCCGCAAATTTCATTTTTGAGAACTGAGAATTATTATAAACAAGCGTCCTTTAGACTCATGGGTACTATATAAATTCGGAAATTGCTAAAAGACTTGACTGTTGGAGCAACTGTTCATTTTGCCCCGAATTACCAGAAGGAATTCCTGGAAGCTTATGTTGCAACAAATCTGATTTTGCAAAAGGGCGTTTGATTGTTGCTGGGGTATGTTGTAATGACTTGTATTCAAGTCAATTGTTTTTTATATAGACTCTAATTGAAGACATGAGTTTTCATTGGAGTATTTTATAGACAAGTTTGACCTTAATTAGGATTATTTTGGTTTTATTATTTTAGTAGAGTTTAGTCTAACATGGACTTTTGTTGTTTAAACTCAAATCCTTCAAAGAGTCTTTGGTTTTTTGTCCTACACGTGAGACCTCCTCAGCATAAAGACTTTGTGAAGGAATCAAATTCCTTAGTCTAGAAGCTAGATAAAAAGGACGTCTTCTTCAGTGAGTTAGTGGTTAGTCATTGACGACGGTACAAGAGTTTTCTTTGTGTGTAATAAATTGATATTGCTCTATTTTGTTAAATCCAATAAATATTATATTATTGGAATAGAGCAGATATCTAGTTTTCTCTTTGATTTGTTCTGAAAACGTTGTAATCTCCAACCTTTCAATAGTGAAATTTTGACGTTGTGTTTTGTTCGTGGATGTAGGCTTGCTTGTTGAGCCGAACCACGTAAATCTTTGTGTTATATTTTTCTATTTCGTTGCGTTATTATTTTGCTTGTGGTTTTGTTTATAACAAATTGGTATCAGAGTTATTAGATTCGGGATGGCTACCGCAAAATTTGAGATAGAAAAATTTGATGGTCAGAAAAATTTCAGTTTATGGTAGATCAAAATGAATGCATTGCTTCATCAGTAGGGTTTGGCAAAGGCCATTGATGGAACTTTATCCAAAGAGACAGATCAAACTAAAGTTGTTAATATTGAAGAAAAAGCACACAGTGCAATTCAGTTGTCTCTTGCTGATGAAGTTCTTCNGATAATTCAGAGTTCTCAAGTTTAACACTTCTCATATTTTTTAAAAATCTGTCACTTTCTTTTTTAGGTGACATATTTTAAATCTGCTCGAATTGCAATGACCAATATTTGAGTTCGAATGAATAATCGATGCAAATTTAAACATATTATAACAAAAAATAAAAAAAAGGCAAGTATTCAATCGCCGTGGGCTAAAAACAGCGCGTGTCAAAATTTTATTAGATAACAATCTTAGCAATGCATTGTGAATTTTTTTTAATCGATTGAGTCTACTCATTTATGAAATGAGTAGCTTAAAGAAGACCAAAATATTTTAATTTCATATCATATTCGTATAAAGTTTAATGGATGCCCCACATAGCCTAATCCCTGGCCCGACAATCCCACCAGAGCCTCCTCAAACCGCGGTTTTACCCACATACTTCGGGTGTATTTGTTTTAGCTATGAAGAAAGAGGATTAAAAAAAATAGTGATCGAGTTCATCTTATTCTATTTATTCTCACGTGCGGTTAGACAGTTTAGAATTTTTTGATATTATCACCTATAAATAATCTAAATCCAAATAAATAGTACATTTATACTCATGAACAAAACCTCAAATCACTGGGACGGTTTACTTTGTTGCAACTTGCGAACTCACCTTATGACATTATTAGTCTGGTTGCTTTCCAAGTCTTTTCTAAAACGACGTGCCCATCATTATTTTTCCAGTCTAAGTACTAAAAAAGTTGTCTGGAGATCACACACATTTGATAATTCTCATCTTTCATGTCACCCCACTTTCAAGGGTTGTCTATAATTATTCAATTAAATTACCCATTTCCAGTTCCAGTTCCAGGTATAATTTAATTTTTACAAATTAAACGACCCCCTCACATTGGTGTTTTCTCTATTTTTTTAATTTTACATTTTTATGAAAGTGGCTAGTTGTCGATATGGTTGAATAGTCAAATCTATATGATAAGAGAGTTACTAATTTGAATCTTTTCCTTATATATATTATTTATTTATTTATATCAAATCATTCATTTTTATCAAAAGTTGAATTATTTAATTTTTTACTAATTTGTGGCTCAATATAATTTTTATTTAACATATTATTCATATGTGATAGTGTACACATGTTAGTTTTTTGAGGTTATATATTTTGAGAATTTTTTTAAATAATGGATTAAAAAAAGGGAAGAAAAAAATTGTTATTTTATATAGTAGTATTGATTTTTTGGATATTCAAATTTTATATTATATTATGTTTGAAGATACGAGTTATGACTAGTAAAAGAATAGGGAGGAGATAGGTTAATTTTATCCGATGGGTCTACTTTTCATTGTTTAGTGTGTTAGTGGGCCAAAATAAGGCCAGATGTTCGGGGATTAAAATGGTATTTATGATCATTTTATCCCAAAACCTAGAATTGAAGAATGATAAACAATACTGGCTGAAATTAGGTTGGATTAAATTGGATAGTTTGCATTCCACCTATTCAATCACATATCGAACCAAACGTAGTTTTGGATCGAGCTCAAGTAGGCTGTCCAATCCAATCCAATCCAATTGCTTTCTTTTGTTAGTTAACACCGAGAGAAAACCAAGTGTACGTTTCTTAGTTTCTTCATGATTCATCTTGTCTTGCTCATTATTTATCGGGACTCTTTGGAGGGAGAGGTATTATGGGATTTAATCCCAACATAGAACGAGAGAATAACCTGTTGAAGGTCATATAGAACAATTCTTACCATGCTGGGGTTTTTTTTGGATCAACATTAGTGCATCCAAACATAAGCTTACCTTTACCCAAGCTCACCTTCTTCAATCAACTTAGTGGCATTCTGAACATTATATATGTTAACGAAACTATCCTTCTCCTAAGTCTGAGCCTTGACAAATCTGCCCCAAAACCAATGCTTCTCCCATACTGCATACATTGAGTTCAAGGGAACTCCTTTGGTCTCCGGCACAAAAAGTACTACAAAAATGGTCATTACAGCGATCCAACCGGCGTAGAACAGGAATGCCCCATATTTGAAGTGACATAGCATGGCTAAGAATGTTTGAGATAACACAAAGGTGGTGGCAAAGTTAACAGCAACGCTTATGCTTTGTCCGGTTGTCCGGATTTTCATCGGAAATATTTCGCTCGGAATAAGCCAACTTAGAGGTCCCCATGACCAACCAAAACCAGCAGCATAGATGCACATTAGCACAAGCACGAGCACGGCATAGCCCTTGGAGATGTGTTTGGTGCCAGAACCACCTGTTGTGGTGGCTAGTACACAAGCCACCGCGACCTTCACAAAAATTGCCACCACAAGTTTTAGTGCACCAGGTTAATCAGTACCATTAAAATTTCCATGATCCTAATCCCATAAGGTGGCCAAGAGTCGAGAAGCATTTGTAAGAATGTCCAAGGTCACATTAGTTTTGTTCCGGTAATGCTAGACTGAAAAAAAAAAAACAGAGACAAAAAATAGGGACTAAATAATGAACAGAATCATACCTGACAGACAAACATTTGAATCCCACCTTGGATGAACAAAAATCTTCTTCCAAAACGATCAACAACTACGGTGGACACGAGGATCGAGCCTAGGTTAACCAACCCAAGTATAATTGCAGCTATAAGAGCTGAATCGCTTCCAAAACACACTGATTGAAAAAGAACTGGCGCATAAAAGGCAATGATATTAATCCCGGTGACTTGTTGAAAAAAAGATATAGCAATGGCCATCACAAGATGAGGCCTGTATTGCCTCCCAAATATGGTCACAAATGGCTCTTGATTTATAGTCTTGGCTATTTCACTGGACGAAATTAGATCAACTAGCTCGGGCTCCACGTCGGTGTTGGTTCCCCGGACTTTGGT